TGATCCGGCCCGGCCACCCGGACAAAGCGAGCCAGATAAATTGAGGGGGGAGGGGAGCGCGGCCGAGCCATGGAGAGCTTTTGGCCGAGGTGTCTGCCCGGAATATATATGATATCGCCATTTATTTTGCGATAATAAAATGTCGAGAGCCATTAAATCCAATTGTCGAAGCGTGCAACGTGATATATTGTCAACCGTCCACCGCGACGTGTGTGCCTGTGTGTGTGTGTGTGTGTGTGTGTGTGTGTGTGTGTGACTGTGAGACTGGGCTACGAAACTAATTCAAACAAATAATGCTATTTTACCGTCACAACCTTGTCCCCCGTGGCGAATGTCGACCGGCTGCCTCGCCAAAGTACAGTGGCGCTGATAAATGCCCCGCAGCCAAAGCCAAAGACCCGCCCCTTTCTCGAAAACGCAAAGCTAAGCCGGCAGAAACAGCCAATCCAACAACAACAACAACAACAACAAAGACCCCAAATTCCAAACAGGATGTGGCAGGAGGTTTTGAGATAAAGATGACGCGCGGCCTGGTGTCCCACGGGCATCGAAACTAGACTGGCAACAGCCTGGACCACAAAATGTTCCTCTGAAATGGCATTGGCGTATTAGCCCACAAGGAGTTCAAAGGGTGGTGCTGGACTGAAGTCGCGCCTCAAGTCGCCTAGCGCGCTGGAAGGCTGAACCTGGGAGGTAAGGAGGCTGAGAGGTTGGGAGCGAGGGGGCAAAAACTCGGGATTTTCGTGTACACATGATTCGGAAAACGCAATGATTGCGCATGGTTTTAATTGATTTCATGGCTGATTTTGCCTTATTTCGCGACGCACCAGGGTGATGTTGAGCGTGATTGCGTGTGATTGTGTTCGGAAAGAAATGATTTCGGACTGATTTGGCCTGGTTTCGTGTGATTCTGCCTAATTTCGGTCGATTTTAGTGATTTTGGCTGATTTCGGATTGCTTGATTTCGCGTGATTCTCAATGATTCGCGTGTGATTTCGGGGGCCGTGTACACATGATTGCGCGAGTTTTTGCCCCCTCGGTTGGGAGGCGGGAAGGGGGGGAGGTTTGGAGGTTGGGATGCTGCGAACTGGAAGGCTTGAAAGCTGGAGGGCTGACATGCTGCAAAGCTAGAAAGACGGAAGGCTGGTCAGCCGGAAGACTGGAAATCTGGAAGGCTGGAAAGCGGAGGGTGGAACGTAAAAGCCTGGGAGGCTGGAAATCTGGAAGGCTGGAAAGCTGGAACGCTGTAAACTGGAGGCAGGCGGTGGAAGGGGAGGCGCCACAGAGCACCGCCGATAATTTATTAGACAACCTGGCAACTTTTGCTTTCACTGTTGGCGACGGCGCGAGTGAAATAGTGCCCTGGCCGGAGCGGCGGCCGGGCGAGACAGAGAGAGAAGACACCGAGAAGACGGCGCGCTGTATTACATGGCACAAATGTGAGCCCCCTGTCACTTACTGTGCCAAAGCCATGAAAAAGGGAGGATAAAAAATAAAAATAAGGGAGGGGGAAGGGAAATCATCGCGGACAGTCAAATCTCTAATCCTTCTCACAGATCCTCCCGCCGTGAAAGGGACCGCGAAGTGATTGGGTCGTAAGTAAGGATAAACCCTTTCGTTTGTGTCGATTGAAGAGAAATGATCGAAACTGGTGATAAACGGTGGCTGTCTGGAAATGTCAAGAGAGCTGAGTTTACATCAATTTTCACAAGCCCATTCATCTTATTAATTTAAAATGCGTTTGTATTATGACTTTGGACAACTTCACCTGACTTAAGTGAACCTACCCTCACGTCCCTTTGGAGTTCATTTTCAATCTTCAAAGACGCAGCAAATAATGAAGGCACTTCACGGTTTTGGATTTTGAACACTGAAACTTGTTTGAAACTCAAAGACTTGCAACTAGAGTCGGGTGCGACGTTGCTACTGCTTCAACCTCATCTGTTTTGCACTCAACAACCCACCTAACCTATAAAATCTAATCGCTCATCTCTCAGCCACGCAGTGGTCGCCGCGATAGAGATCTCCGGCTGCTTATAACTCAATAACTGGACGGATACTACTTTTCCACCGCGTCGCGCAGACCGCAGTAACTAGTTCTGATTTCCTGTTCCACAAAATCGATCATCTATGAATCGCCCCACAAGGACCACTAGACCGAGACGCCGTGGTGTAATAAGGAAGTCTCGGGAGCCGCGGTCCGAGGATCGTTAATTTTGAGCAGGTCTCGTATCACTGCTGTGAGGATGCATGTCAAAGGGAAAAAAAGCTGAAACCTTTTTCTGTCCCTGTTCCCGTCGAGGTGACAGTCCCGCGGCGCGCATCCTATTAACTCAATCGTCTAATGTCGCAACACTTATTTTCTTGGCGTTTTTTCTTCGTCGCCGTTGCCTCGCTGACGGCGGGGGACAGGCGAACAAGCAGCAATTTGTAGCGGCGACATTTCGTCGTAAAATCGGCATTAAAACGACAAGTTTGGAATTCATTATCGAATAAACCAAGAGGCGAAAATAGGTAGACAGACGACGGCTGTCCCGGCAGGCAGCGCCAACTCCATTCGTCGCATTTAGCCGCCGTTTGTGGGCGTCCCAGTAACGTCCGTGTTGTGGCGTCCCGGGGATCTACGGCGGCCATGTGCATCCCCCCGTGTCGTGTTTACAGTGTCGACACCCCCAAAGCCGCGCACCACGGCCCGGCGCAGCCTCGCGAAGAAGCCGAGGAGCTCCGCTAGAGCGGCCCCGACAACACCTGCTCGCCCTTCTTCACCTTTTTATTACATTTTGTCGTCATTTCCCGCCGGAAGTATCTCTCTCGCGCACGCAAGCTCGTCGCGCGTGTGTGTGTCTGAAGGTGTTGGAAAGGTGTCTGTGTGTAGGTGTTAGAAAAGTGTGTGTGTCTGTGTGTGGAGGATGGCTCGGGTACTTTATTACAAGCGTCCTCACTTTGTGTCGCTGTATCACTTTCGGAGGAGTAGCCGTTATATAGTTGACAAGGCGGCGCGAGTGTTGACACTCCTCTTTAGCAGCTGTCTCGGTGTGTGTGTGTGTGTGTGTGTGCGCGCGCGCGCGTGTGTCGCGCAGAAGCGCCCCATTACTCGTGTTAAGTCGGCGCCGTTTCTTGTACTCAGACAAGCGGACTGCTTGGCGGCGGCGCGGACTCGGTGCCAAACGGCTTTAGCAGGGCGGGGATGAAAAATTTACGGTCGGCCGTCTTTACGGTGCAGGAGGCGCGTCGCTCAATATTTTGAGTCCGAGGCCGCTCATTGGTCTGTTAAGCGGTTAATGCAAATATCGACGGGTTCGAGGAATATAACGCTATCTCGGAGCGCATTTTTATACTGGTCTATCTCGTCGTGCGGTACTACACTACGCTAACTCGGTTCGCTGCACTACAGTGCGCTATCTCGAGCTGCTGCCCTATGCTGCTCTAACTCAGGACGCTTGTCTCTGCGCGAGCATCGCAGGCCATGAGCCAACTTTTCAGGAGAGCGAATCGAAAGTTTACAGTTCGAAATCAAATCAGATTTGTAGTCGAGGCCGCTGTGGCGATGATATTCTGATTCTTTGTAGTCTTCCAAAGCTATCAGCATGTCACTCTTTCGATAAAGTATTAATAATCAGGGTGCAACTATGAAATAATAAAGCACCTAGGATAGCACCAACTAAGCTTTGCAGTTCATTCAAATCAGTACTTATTTTGTTAAAATTACGGTGTATAAGTAGGTAACTGGAATTAAAAAGTCATTGTTTTTTTGTTGTAGTGTTAATTAAAATGCTCTGCTTACCATTGTCAACTAACCTTCCTGTCCACTGAGTTGTTTATGTTGTCCCAAGGTGTTCTAGTCAATCAATAATCATTATCTTGGCATGAAACATTTTTACTCTCTGCTTTCTATTTCATTCTTAACCATTTTAATTTCCTGCTTAACAGTCAATTGATTGCAATAATTGTCAGTTTCCTTGAAACTGGAGGGGACTTGAAGGGCCAACGCTCAAATTGGATCGGGACACAACTGATGTACCTTAGATTGAGTTTTGTAAAGAAATGAAACAACATTTTTTATCTCAGTGAAGTATAAGAATAAGATCAAAAGCTAGAGAAGCAAAGAATCAAAGGTGGGAGTGTTCAACAGTTTGAAGTATAGTTGCCATGGGAGAAAGCCAAATTTGTAGTTCAGCCGTCAATTGTCAATCCATATTCATTAAAATTATTTGCACGAAACATTTTAACTCTGATTACTATTTTATTTTTAGCCGTCTTAATTTCCATCTTAACGGTTAATTAATTGCAATAATAATGTATAAGTTTGTTTGAAACTGGTGGGGGCTTGAAGTGTCAACGCTCAGGGACGGGCTCACTGTTGTTCCTTAGATTGAGTTTTACCAAGGAATGTAACAACATTTTTTAACTCAGTGAAGAATAAGGAGCAGATCAAAAGCTAGGGAAGCAAAGAATCAAAGGTGGGAGTGTTCAGGTTCAACGGTGTGGAGTATAGTTGTTTTGGGAGATAGCCAAATTGGCAGTTACTGCCGTCAGAATTTACTTGTAAAATCTCAACAATTCCACCTTTGGTTATTTGCTTCTGTAGCTCTTCCTCTGCTCCTTTTATTTAACAGAGTTACATCTCAATCAATTAAGAAAATCATTAGTGCAATGAGCCTTTGCGGCAAAATCTTTAAGTATCAAACAGTGAAGATGTTGTTGTTAGTGTGATAGGATGACAGATGCTAAAAATAGAGAAGCCGAACAATACAATTCTCTAATCACTTTTTAATTTAAATAGAGAAAACAAAAAACAAAACAGTTTGATGTAACATGCAAGTAGTCAACCACATAAAATTGCATAAAGGAAAGTGTAATAACAATTATTATTATTGTAGAACCATCCCATACAAGGAGAAAATGAAACATTGTACTTAAAATCACAGGTACAAAGAGTACGTTAACCACTGGTAAAACACACACATAGATTAAACACAAAATAAAAATGTCACAGCAACACATGTTGCAAATCACTATTAAAAGTAACAGGTAATACTGATAAAGACATAAACAAAAATGTCACATTAAAATTATTGCACAGAGCAGCTCAACAAGGGACCAAAAATTAGGAAAATTAATTCTTCTTCTTGGGTGGTGGTGGAAGAGGGTGTTCTGCCAATATCTTCCTGTAAAACCCTTGGTATTTTAAAGGAATAACATTGGTGTTACACATTTTTGTCAGTCCGTTCCTAGTAGATGCTGTTATAGGCAATAATCCATTATATGCCTGTGAGAACACATAGTTCTTCGCTATCAAGGGGCGTCCCTTTCTTTGGTTCACATTTAAAGTCACTGGTGGCTCGTTGAGGTCATACTTAATTACCAAGTTAAGACCATCTTCAACACATACTTCCCGTATGTCCATGAACCGAACAGCATTTCCATCTGTGTCGGTGTCCCAATTTTGCTTTGCCACCAATTTTTTGAAATCAAACACATTTGTCTGATTCACCTTCATTATTTTGTACTTATCTTCTTTTTTTATAATAGCAGCTCTCATAACTTTGTGCCAGTGGCTGGGCACCAGTAATTTTTTTCCTCTGCTGGCAGTCTCAATATTAGCATGCATGTTGTCGCCTTCATTTTGAGTGTGACCTTTCAGCAAATATGTGAGAGTTATTTTAATCTTGAAAATACTTGATGCATAGACTAGAAGGGCAAAGATCTGTCTATTCTTGTTTTGCCCAGTACAGTTATCACAGTACATCTTGAATTCCTTCACTCCCTCCAACACAGCAATCCTAAAATAGCGCAGAAGGCAGCTTGCTATCTCATTGCTGCCTTTCATACAGATGCCTTCTCTCCATGTGAAGCAATACCCTTTGTGAAGGGTAAGCCCTCTTGTTTCAAATACTGTGAAATCGTATGTGGAAAGCTTAGAGTGGTAGTAAAATCCTGATGAGTATCCTTGAGGTACATATAATACTTTCTGCAAGTCAAAGCAGACAAATGCCAATTCAGCATTGTCCTTTGTGGCCAATCGGTCTTCTTCTTTCCGTCTCCGAAGCTCTTTCTTGAGAGTCAAATGTTGATCATATTCTTCTTGTAGTTGAAGTTTTACGTCAACTGAGCCATCTCTATGCTGGCAGCACAATTCACACTGATCTTTTTTTGGCTTATGCACTTCTATATTAAATTCTGTATTGAAAATTTCAAGATAAAGTCTGTAATGAGCTATGTTGGGATCTTTTACTTTTATTTCAGGAACAGCTTCCTCATTTTCTTCTTCAACTTCCTCGGCAGGGTTGTAATCTTCATCATCCATGAGATCTCCTTCCGATGTTACATCAGATAAAGCATCAACAGGGATTGGTTCTGTGGGTTCTTCATTGTTATCTGCAGCCTCAATATTTTTTTTCCCCTCCATCCATTTCAAATATGCACGATGCATTTTTGCCACAGTCCAGCCTTCCTCAACATATTCCTTTGTTGAGTCTTTTCTAATATAATGTGACTCCACTTTTGGAAACATTCTTATGTGCTCCCTCACACTTTCTTTCACCTCAGGCTTTGTAGCATTTCCCCTCTTTGAATGCTTTCCTTGTTTGGAAGGAGATGGAGTTCCATCAGGACCTGCCTTTTTAAATGCTGTCAAGACAACTGAGTTAGCCATACGATGAGTACTCAAAAACATGGTCTTACAAACTCTGACGGATTGACCTCGGACTGGCAAATGGTATGTATAGGTGAAGGCTCTTCGAGATGGTGTGTCACTTTCAGCATTTTCTTTCTTATTGTCTTTTTTAACATGCTTAGTTACATATGACCACCTGGCTTGATCACCTGTTACTTTTTTTCTGTAAGTGCGATAAACTATTTCTCGCTCTTCTTGACTAACTTTAGAATGACATTTATACCTACAAGTTGCTTTGCAACCAGGTCCCATTGGTTTAGCTGGCACTGTAACCCCAGCCTTGTTTACATACTCTTCTCCAGCTTGACGTTTTTGCTTTTTGATATTAACTAGCCATGTATCTGGTTTTCTCTGTCTCTTTCGTGTCCTTTTCTTTACATTCTCTGGCGTTGGATCTTGGTTTGGTTCTGGTTCCTGATCTTCTATTATTTCTTGATCTGAGGCCTCGTCAATTATATCAGAGTCATTGGTGTTCTCGTCATTAAGGATGTTCTCATTTATCAAAATGTCATTTTCATTCTGCCTTGGAGCAACAACTTCTTCCACTGCAACAAAGAGATAAAAATAAAACTAATACAGGCTCAATGTTTGAATAAAGCAGACAAATCACTGGTCATTTGACAAAGTGGTGTAAGTCCACCAGAAGTCAGATTCTTTCTTTGTAAACATTTTTCGGTGCAGCTACTAATCAGGAACGCCTTCAGAATCATTGCAGATTTTGTTCTTTATGTACATCTGGCCACTGTGCTTGGTATAGGTACGGTCATAATGACAAGTAATCAAATTTACCTCATAACAAATGCCTTTTAGATAATTACAGTGAAACTAAATTTTCTTTCAAAGGCATTTGGTTAAAGGTAAATTTGATGACTTATTATTGGGGCCATATCTATACCAAGCACAGTGACTAGATGTACATATAGAACAAACTCTGCAATGATTCTGAAGGCGTTCCTGATTAGTGGCTGCACCGAAACATTTTTACAAAAAAAGACTCCAACTCCTGTTGGACTTACGCCACTTAGTCAAATGACCAGTGAAATAGATATTATTTTTACCATTTAAGCTATTGAAAGACTTGACTGAAGAATTACTTTCAAATTGATCTCGATTTGGTCCTGGTTCCTGTTCTTGGATGTTTCCTTTATCGGAAGTATTGTCAAATACACCAGACATAAATGTGTCATTCGTGTCCTCATGAAGGATATTCTCAATCATAAGAATGTCATTTGAATTTTGCCTTGGGGCAACAACTTCTTTCACTGTAACAAAAAGACATTAATAAAATTTAGACACACACAATGTTTTAAGAAAGCAGACAAATGGATATAATTTTTACCATTATTTATACTATTGAAGGATTTATAATGATCATCTTCTACCACTTCAACAATAGCATTTAAATTGATCTCCATTTCAATGGGTACATTGTTGAAAGAAAAGAGAGACACAGTTCTCTCACCTAGAAAAGGGAAAGGGAGCACACTGGTTAGAATAAATGTAATTTTGTTCAAGTCCCCAAATGGAATAAAAGAAACTTACTGGCATCTGTTGCAGCTGTAGGAATAATTTTGTTTCCATTGAAGTAAAAAAAACAGATTGAGTTAAAATTAGTGTAAGAAAGAAACAGAATAGAGGCATAAGAAGGATGGAACTTACAAGAAGGAAATACATCTCTAAAAATTACAGAATCATTTTGTTGTGATGTACTTTTTGTAATATTAAAAGCATTCTCTGGAAGAAAAAATTTAAATAATTAAAAATAGAAGTTTTTAAATATTTTTTTGTTAATCTTGAGTATCCAAACAACTCAGACCTGATGAATTGTTTACTTCAGCTTGAGTTAGTGATATCTCCCCACGATCTGGACTAGAGTGAACGGGCAAACCATGGTTGTTCTTCAACAGTGGCTGGGAACAACTTGGGTGAGATGTTTTGAGTTGACCACCACAGAATGTATTCTCTAAGACAGGAAAAGAAAACAATATCATAATTTAACGTCCATGCTAAAGGCAAAATAGTTTGCAATGTTATAAGTCTGACTGACTTCCTTGAAAAAATAAATAAATTGATGAGACAAAGTAGAACTGAACTTATCCTACCATTGACAGTACTCATCAAGGTACTCACCTAATATAGGGTTGTCTATTGCTACAGAAGCTCCTGTCTCCGTTGTTTGAGTAGGTGAACCATCCTGATGTTTCAAAGCTGAAAGGGAAGGACTAGGTTGAAGTGTCAGAACACATGCATTCAGATAAATAAACAGATAAATAACAGATAAATAAAAGTTAATCATTGCTACATGTAAATTTTATAATTTGTGAGAATTCTTTGCAATATGATAAATTCAAAAACTGTACTAATAAAGAGAGTGGTATTCACCTAATGTAGGGTTGCCTTTGGCTTCAGAAGATTCTGTCTCTATTTGTCGAGTAGGTGAACCATCGTGATGTTTCAAAGCTGAACGGGAAGGACTAGGTTGAGGTGTTTGAACACATGCATTCTCTGGAACAGACAAAAAAGACATCATTATTATATTTTAATTTTATAATTTGTGAGTACTCTTTGCAATATGATAAATTCAAAAATTGTACTGAGACTAAGGAAAACTGAACTTTCCTCAACATTGACTCAGAATTGATCAAGATACTCACCTAATGTAGGGTTGCCTTTGGCTACAGCAGCTTCTGTCTCCATTTGTCGAGTAGGTGAACCATCGTGATGTTTCAAAGCTGAACGGGAAGGACTAGGTTGAGGTGTTTGAACACATGCATTCTCTAGAACACAAAAAAGGACATCATTGTTATATTTTAATTTTATAAGTTGTGAGTACTCTTTGCAATATGATAAATTCAAAAATTGTACTGAGACTAAGGAAAACTGAACTTTCCTCAACATTGACTCAGAATTGATCAAGATACTCACCTAATGTAGGGTTGCCTTTGGCTACAGCAGCTTCTGTCTCCATTTGTCGAGTAGGTGAATCATGGTCATGTTTCAAAGCTGAACGGGAAGGACTAGGTGGAGGTGTGTGAACAAATGCATTTTCTGGAATACACAAATAAAAGGAAATCATTATTACGAGTTAATTTTATAATTTGTGAGTATGTTTTGCAATGATATAAATTCAAAAACTGCACCAGACCTCTTAACATTGACTCAGATGAAGGTACTGACCTGATTTTGTAGAATTGGTTTTGCCCTCCGCAACTTCTTTATCGCTTTGTTGTGCAGATGAGCCACCTTGGTCCTCATAAGCTGGATGGAAAAGAAAAGGTTGAGGTGCCTTTACGCCCATCTGGAATGCATTCTCTGAAACAGACATAAACAAAGTATAATATAGATTATTCTAAGAAAATTAGATTTATTTGATGCAAAGGGAAAGGGTGCTCAACTAAGAATAACAGATATTTACTAACATGTTGATTAAAAATATTTTTCCCTCATCTTATCCCTGCTCTTTTCAAGAATGTTTCTTATGTACTATCCAGCAATAATGGGTTGCCACATTAAAGTTAAAAGAATTAGGCATGATTTGGTAGCAAAATACCAAAAACAAAGTCCATTATTGGTGCAACAGTTAGCATGTTTACCGTTGAGCTAATAATGGGATAGCTACAGTCAAAGACAGTCAGACAAAGGCAAAACTAATGTTTTTAATACACTTTTTTTTTTGAAAATATAATACTGAGTAGAAACCTTAATTGGCTTCAGTAACTTCATGACATTAAAAACTTTGCTTAAAAATTATAAGAACTGCTATGAAACTTAATTAAAAATGAATACTAATGAGACATATTTTTTGAGTGCTACTGACCTCTGCATAAGTTTCTTCGTACCGCAGTTGTTTCACTAGCCCAGGTCGCTATCCGTGCTCGCTTTTCGGAGGGCTCTTCATTTCTTGGCAACTGAGGAGGCTTCGCAGTCACTCTTGGCCTCAGTAAGTCACCCAGGCTGATACGTTGGGTGGGAGGCTGTTGGGGTTTGATCTTCTCGCCATCTGAAACCACGAGAAAATTAATGAGCAAAGTTCTCTGTAATAATATTGAATAAACCATACTAGGTTGAATCAAAAACAGGAGTAAACAACAACAAAACTACAAATTGTTTTATGGCACCATGGCAGTCCGATACAAACAACATGTCAACACTTGTATTAACATAAATGATTTGTCACATGTGACACTATGAAATGAGTCAGAATATGAATACATCTTTAAGGAAATCAAAAAGAGGAGAAAGTTCTGAAACGTTGAACTCATAAAGCTCTGTCAGAGGCAAAGATTACTATTACACCCTGCAGGTTAGAGAGCCATAGCCATTTCAAAATTTCAAATGGATAACATTATTACGAGTAATCACACTCACTTGGTTGAAACCCAGCTTTCGCCAAGAACGCAATGGCCCGGTTCGACATGGTTCCTTGCTATCTAGGTAAAATTCACCCAGAGACAACCATCATTCTAGTTCCACACGCCTGCACACTCACGCTAGACGCTACACTGTAGTTCCGCACGGACGCTACACTCCAGGAAGTTCGAGTCCGCCCCCTCCTGCCCTGGCGTGAGATACACCAGTCTTCCACGCCCACAACGGGGACGACATAACCTAGCTGCAAATTTCATCGTCTCTTTCCTAGACATGCTGGTGCTCGCACACAAAAACCATTCATATCGTTCGAAAGTGTTTAATGTGCAGAGCAGGAATCCGTGGTCAACAAAAAACCAAGGATTTGGCAAAATATCAGCAATTTCGGTCACCTCTGCGAGTTAGTGCAGCATAGGGCAGCAGCCCGAGATAGCGCACTGTAGTGCAGCGAACCGAGTTAGCGTAGTGTAGTACCGCACGACGAGATAGACCAGTATAAAAATGCGCTCCGAGATAGCGTTATATTCCTCGAACCCGTCGATATACGCCAAAATTCAAATTGTTTCCTCCTTGGATGACAGGTTGAGGGGTGGCTGAATGTCAAGGCGTCAGCTGGGTTTACTCTTCTTACCCGGTACATTTCTTCTCCAACAACTTACCTCTAATGGTCCATTTGTCCCCTTTTTTGGCGGTTTTTGTCGTTTTCGTCGCCCCTTCACCGCGACGGCAGGCCCCCGCGCTTGGGTTTGGACGGCGCCACCGCGACCGCCGGCCGGCCGAAGCCAGACAGAGACAGGGACAGGGAATGCGTGTGAGAAAGTGGGTTGGCGTTTGGAAACCGGCTGCCGGTTTCCTCATGAGCGACGGTCGTTCCAGTCCATCCCCGCCTCGCCGCTTCTCCCTTTTCCCGGATTTTAGTGCAAAGTTTTGTTCGATCGGCGCCGCGTTCTCTCACCGCGCGTTCGGAAGGTGTCCATAAAAGAGGGGCCGGCCGAGCAGAGAAGTGAGCGCGAGTTTGTGGTCGGTCCCTGGTGCCGAGTCCGGCCGGGTCGCGGGAGGTGTTCGGAGCTGCAACATTTTGGCGCGCTAAGTGCGGTACGGCGAGCCCCCACGGCTGCTGGCGCGACGCTGCTCCCCGGGGTAATCCTTTTGTTTCAATAACCAGCAGGCGGTCGCCAGAGAGCCCCGGCCGGGCCTCGGCGGAGCGGTCTGCAGATTACTGCTCAGATTACGGCGTCACGACCCACACGCTTTATCGGAGTGGGCTGCCAAATGCCGGACAATTTCCTGCAGCAAAATGTCTTCCCGAAGTTTTGTCCCACTTCTTCTTTCCGCGGGAAATTTTCCCCACTGGCACAGAAAACTAGGGTATCAAACTGTATCAAAACTAAAAAAGGAATCTTAAAAAAAAAAACAAAAAAACATGCAGTGAAAGTTTTGACGTTTCTCTACCCCTATTCTTGGTTACTTTATAAGTCGATTCGAGGAGTTTCTGAAATTCGGCAGAGTGCAGGCAGAAAGTGGATACACATGCATACACTACTCGAGACACACATCCAGACTTCCAGGTAATCACGGCATTATGAATAAGGCCCATTATGCCACATCGCGCGTCGTGCATCTCGCGTGTAGCACGGTAGCGGCAAAGAGAACAACGCCCCCCCCCCTTTTCTTCTCCCCAAGGGACGGGGGGCAAGGAAGGAAGGGGGCGTTTTTGCTGGAACACCGTAAGGACATTCCAGATTTTTCGGGTCGATATCTCGCGTAGCAGACAGGTCCGTTCCGCCACGGGTATTATTGTTGCCAAATTTTTGTATCTTTTTTTTAGAAAAATTTATTTTATTTCTTTATTTTTGCCGTCACTCTTTGTGTAGCCACACCATTTGCAAATGGCTACACTCTGAGACAAAATTTAAAGAAAAAAATGAAAAATTCTCTTCTCTGGAAATCGCATTCCATTGTGGTCCCCGAAGGAATTGGGTGATTGTGTCTCGGAGCGCATTTATCAACAAAATTTATCTTCTCATCATGAATAGAAACCAAACTGAAAGTAAATCTGGACTTTTCATAGCAAATAGGATTTTTCGAGTGAAGAGTTTGAAAATTCCAACCAAAGGCATCGGGTTGCGTGGAATTTTGGCGGGCGTTCCGTGCGGCGGGCCAGGGGCTAGCCAGGGGCGCCAAGGGCAGGCCGGGCCGTGGCGAGCCGGGCCACTCTGCTAATGAACAAGCCCCGGCGGCGGGCCCGGCGGCCCAATGGGGCGGCCCGATTGCGGATGCCCAGTGGCGGCCAGTGGAGTGGTCGAGCCGGGCCGAGCCGCGGTTAGCCCGGCACCCTTATATTGCGCCATCAAAGTGGCCCACCGCGCCTTAGCGCGCAATCTGCGGGCACACTGCGAAGCTCTCGTCGCTCCGTCTCTCTCGCACTCGTGGGGCGTCCCGTACGGGAGCGAGAGAGACAGAGCGACGAGTGCTCAGCCTGCTGGGGGTCTCCATTGGGCACTCCACCGTGTGCTGCAAATGGAAGGACCGCGGCGGGCAGAGGACAGTGTGAGTGTGACGTCATAATGACGTCGAGATACACCGTGCAGAGGTGATCCGCTGTAAAATTGTGTGTACAATCATTGTGGGCTTGTGCTATAGACTGTGCGAGATTGCAGGCGTGTTTGCCACCTGAATGCGGATTGTGTTCAAATTTTGTCGATATAGCCCATTCTCGAGTTCTAAAATGCCAAAATCTCATCCAGAAAACAGCTGTCTCCATTATACGCCGTGTCTCAAAATTGCCCCAACTAAAACTAGACTACAAAGGCGTTAATAATAGCCAACGTCGTCAGCACCGTGGCCTCGCGGGTCATCGGCGACGTGCAAGTCCAGTGTCCAAAGAGTCGTTTCGTCGCTCTGTCTCTCTCGCACCCCCACGCGACGCCGTCACCGCGACAGAGACAGAGAGGCTCTTCGCGGACTCCCGTCTAATTCCGGACGGTCGCGTGCGGTCGGGAAATGCCGGAGAGCATGGATTTGGGTCAGTAGACTGATTCCGAGAGTCGTCGCTCTGTCTCCCTCGCACTCTCGAGAGAGACAGAGCGACGAAAACGACTCTCGGAACCAGTCTGCCGCGCGCCTTCGTGAGCTTGCTCGTGTTTTATGCACTCGCACATCCGCGGCACTCACTCGCCGCCCCGCCCCGCCCCGCCCCGCCGCTGACAGGCAGGCGACAGACAGCAGCAGCGTCGCGGCGCACCGTCCCGTCCACACAGTCAATACTGAGTAAATTAGCTTCTGCTTCGGCGGCTCGCGCGGCTCGACAGCGGAGTGGCGTCCCGCATGGCGTCCCGCCAGCCTGCCTGCCAGCCCCGTCAGCCCCGCTGCGCCGCTGCCGCCAGTCAGGGCTGCCAGTCGCGCTGCGCCGCTTATTGGCAGGCCGAGTGGTAGCCCTGCCGGCCCTGCCACCTGAGTGCCAATAACGGGTGACGGCTGCAGCAGGAAGAACGGCGCGGACGAGCAAGCTGACTACGACGGCGGTAATTTTTCGGCGGTTGGTATACGAAGGGGATTTGAACCCGCGACCTTTGGATCGCGGCCCGGGCGCGCTAACCGTTGCGCCACCGAGGCGGCGGCAAGGCGAAGGCGAAGTGACAGGGTAACACACCAATGCGCGGCACGGCGCGGCCCTCCGGCCAGTTTATGGAGCCATTGAAACGTCGGCCGATCCGCCGCGCAGCGCAGCGCAGCGCCGACAAACGTGTCGCGGCCAATGTACAGGCCGCGGGCAGAGAGAGAGAGAGAGAGAGAGAGAGAGAGAGAGAGACGACTCTCTCGCATACCTCGCGGCACTGTAGGTAACCGTCGGCAACACCGCGCCCTCCGCCTGTCTGGCTGTGTGCCTGTCGGTCGGTCGGTCTGCCCCCTACGTGTGTGTGTGTGTGTGTGTGTGTGTGTGTGTGTGTGTGTGTGTGTGTGTGTGTGTGTGTGTGTGCGTGTAGTTTGTAGGCTTGCAATATTGCAATCCTCGTCGGTCGGTGCGCCGCGCCCTTCGCACAGCAAAGCGGCGAGGGCATACTGTAAGTAACCACACCGCGGCGCCGCCGCCAGGGATGAGCTCTGAGCGGCTTTGAGGCGTTTGAGGGAGTATCAGGGGACTTCTCAGGAACCTTCAGGGAGTTTCCGCGAGCTTCAGGGGGACTCTTTTAAGAGAGCTTCAAGGAGCTTGTAAAGGAGCTTCAGGGAGCTTCGAGCTTCAGGGACTCTGTTTAGGGTCTAGGAGGTTCAGAGACTCTTTCAAGGTAGCTGCAGAAAGTTTCTGAGTGTGTGAGAGTGTGTTTCGTGTGCGTGTGTAGGCCATCTGAGCCCTCAGGGCTGTACACTCTCACTCACTCATTTACACACACACACACACACGGATCGGTGTTTCAATTAGCCAGGTCGCTTCCGGCGCTGCGCTTCGCCACCCCTTATACCTCTTGTCGGCCTGTGTGTGCTGGCAGTGTGCTGGCAGCGTGCTGGCCCCGCAAATGCATGCTTATTGGGACGTCTATATGTCGCCCCGTTGGCGTAATGGCCCGGAAGTGCTCATTTCACATGTGTAGGTGTGTGCGTGTTAGGTGTGTGTAGTTGTGTAGGTGTGTGTGTGTCAGTGTGCGTCAGTGGGTGTGAGGGTATGAGTGAGCCCTTAATTTCAACGTCCATCGCATAACATTTCCTTCGCAAAGTCCCTCAAGAGTAACATAAATAATAAAATTTAAACACCTGCCTGGCCGCGGCGGACGTCGTGGAAATGAATTTCAAGATCGGGGCGCGAAAACGCGATCCACTTCACGCAAAGCGACGCGAAGCGAGGCAAAGCCACAAGCGCGAAAAAAAAGGGAAAAGATAAAAAACGACGCGGGTTTTTCGAACCCGGAGACAATAATAATCATTCTCGGAGACGCTTTTAGGAAACAATTACTGCAGCTAATAATCTTCTGCGCGTCGAAGTCGATGGCGTTGTTGTCGGCGGCGGCGGCGGGTTGTCGGCGCGACCGCGACGGAGGTGTGGTGTGTTCCTACCAGTGGCGGAAGGCGGAGAGAGGGAGAGAGGGAGGGAGGGGAGAGGGAGGAAGTGGGAGGGGC